TCTCACTTATCCAGTTCTCACTTACCCAGGTTTGACTGTATTTCATTAACGTCATTGAAAACATGTAAGAATTCGCCACCAATTAGAATTCAACCTTCAATATGAAAATTTACAAATAAGCTCGACCCCGTCCTAGAATTTCATGTTTCGGATCTGACATACTTAAAAATATAGGTCAAATTAATAACATAAGTAAACGTCGCCCGTCAGTGGCATTCGATTATACCATAGATCGATCCGCAGTTACAAATTTTCTAAATAATTATGTGTATACCTAACATATTGTGTTCATATACAATGTTCGTAGGCGACAATTGCAAGTAATGAAATCAAGTCTATCAAATATTGTAACCTTGCTTAATTAATGATTGAAGGGTACGTTGTCTTGTGAGAGTTCGCCCCGGTTTCCTTACGTCATCACTTTTGTTGCTAACTAGAGGCATGCACTGTTTCTAGCTCACCGTTCCATTACGATACTCCATTATGATGAGAGTACATTAACAATGCTCGCCCCTTTTTTCCTACCTATGCTGATTGCCTTGAGAGGCTATGTCAACGTAACCTAACAAGAAGGTGAGCTCACGGGGCTCAAACTTCACGACGTTGCTAACACTAACCCTAGCAAGAGCAGTACTTCGCAGAATCTACGACCGGATCGGAAACACGACCCCTTGAGAAGATTCGATGAGAAACTCAGTGGGCTGTGTCTGTGGGTTAATTTTCTCGCCGAGCGAACTCACCTACGCTCAAGGATACCAGTAAAACGCTGTCTCCTATACAAAAAATCGAATATATGTTAGATGTTTTGGTTATTCGCGGTTCTGATATTCTGGTGTACTACCCGTTCTTTTAGAATTGAACGGTAATCGGTCAAACTTTCGTAACGCTAGAAGAATAAAGGTATCACTGCAAAGAAGATTCTTCTAGAATTCTAATTTGTTTCTTAAACATTAATTGTTATTATTATTTTTTACCTACTACTAATAATACCTTGAAGGGATTATACAAGTTTCATCGAACGTGTAGACGGGTTCACGGAGTTCAGTCTGGGAGACTTTGCTAACATTTGCCCTAGCAAGATCAGTACTTGCGATCCGGTGGATTGGGAACGCTTTCCCTATTAATTTTCATTTTTTGTTCCTCAGGCGGCTGGGTAAAAGAGCTGCTCCACTATGTGCTAAGTGACTACCGAAGTTCATAGACGTCTCAACGTGAATTGCCATCCATTTGATAAAAAACGACAAGATCTCAATCGTATTGTATGACGACTATCTCACCCTACAAATCGCAACGAATAATTGTTCAGCATATAGTCAGAATGCTGGTATATACCGGCGCGTGGCAAAATACGCCCTAACACCGATAATTAAGGAAAGTAAACCGAATGATATGAGCAGGATCGAGGATCGGCGTGGACATCAATAATTTACGTAAAACAATGTGGAACGACAGTCAAGCCGCGGACGCCAAATTGTCTGTATCGTGACCACAGAGATAAGGTACAACGATACTGAAATTGGCTTATATTATTTTCCTTTATCAAATTATTTTTATTTGTGTTATTATATGTCAGTTACGTCACCTTTTTTTGGATTTAGAATATTCACTATGCTGTATAGTGTATACATTTTTTTTTATTGCGCTATGTATCCTATTTCTTCTGCGAATCCGTCTGCGTACTGGCTTGAGAGGTGGAACAGCCGTTGTAAAAACAAATGATTTCTATCTCATGTTTCTAGTGGAAGTCGGCATTTACCTTGTTATGTTCCGCTAACCACTTAACATCAGTCAGGTTCGTTCATGTAAATGGCACAATAAATCTATACTAATATTATAAAGCGGAAGAGTTTGTTTGTTTGAACGCGCTAATCTCAGGAACTACTGGTACTATATTATAACATCACGGTAACACCAATACAAATGGAGCACCAATAAAAAATGTTTCAAAATAGACGTTTAAATAGCTCCTTAACATTCTATAATTCGAAAATATTTTCACTTTCTACGTAAATGAAGTGGGGGGGGGGGGTAAAATTTAGCGTTATGCCAAAGTTACTATTCCACGCGGACGGAGTCGCGGGCAAAAGCTAGTAAATAAATAAAAGACGGTAGTTCTTTTGACGTTCAACAAGAATGTACTTTCATTTACGTTGAAAAAAAAAATTTTTTTATTTTATTTTATTTGAGAAGAATGGCTCATTTCGCATCCAGTATCCGAAGTGTGTCTGCTGTGTGATGCGGCGCTAGTTCGCGCATGCGTTGCCGCGCCTACGTCACTCCATTAGTGCTGTGCACGGCGTCCTCAGGGACCCTCGTGTTTTAAAATAAAATACACTAAAAAGTATTAATTTAGTGACACCGCAATTAAATCTAAATTTAAATTCCGCTTCGGTTTCAGAGGTTAACGTTTTAGCGTTCAAACGAGTCGTCTGTGCATCGTTTCGGTTTTGTAAAACGGTTTTAGTTCCGAATTTGAATGTTTTATTAGTGAATTTAAAGGCCAAAAACGCGGTGGGTTTGTAAATAAATTATTATTTCATGGTATTTGTTGTCTACACAACGTATGTGGTGCGGACGGCGCATGTGCAAACTTCATTCAGCGTGGACCGGAGACGCTTAGGTCGATACATGGTCACGATTTTTATCTCTGAAAACAGCTCTTATCTTATCATTCGATATTCATCAACAGCGAATTCCCTTAGATTAATTTTATATGTTTATTTTTCGCAACGAGCCGTCTTAAATCAAACAGTAAATTGTCCAATGGCGTACACGCCTGTTAAAGTAAATTTGAGTTATTGCTTTAAGCTATTTCCGACTCGTTTATGGGAAGCATGCATAGTAATATGCAATGTATAAAATTAATCTATAATTAAAAATATACATTAAAAACGTACTTAAATTATATTAAAATTATAATATCATCATCAAACAATATGTGATCTACTACCTATTATTGCTTCTTTACTTCTCTTTTTTTTTCTTTATTATAATATTTTTGTGATACCAATTGTACCGCTTGCACCACCAATTCATCTGTCGGTTAGTAAAAGACAATTCGTCAACTTCCACACTGTAGATGATTCACGGTTACATTTTTACTCGTTATGAAGTGTCATATTTTTTCAATGTACATAATTTTTATTACTAGTATATCGAGTATTACGTATCAATAAATTTTAATGAAACGAGCACTGTCGTTAAACCATTTTTAACCGACTTCAAAAAAGAAGGTTCTCAATTCGACTATGTTTTTATTTTTTATGTTTGTTATCTCATAACTTTTGACTGGATGAATCGATTTTGATTATTCTCTTTTTTTAAAAAGCTGACGCTTCCCGTGTGGTCCCATTATAATTTAGGCCAGTTCTGATAATGGTATCCATGAGAAAACCATATAAGTCTTAAATTTGGATTAAGTATGTGCGCGACAAATAAATGAATAACTCAATATCACGCCAACCGATTTCGATGTTTTTTTTTTTGTGTATATTAATTTGTTTTGTAATATCATTTCTTTTCTATTTGCAGTCGGTTTGAGTTGTATGACATTTATTAATGTCAGGCTGTTAAAAGATACTTTACGATAGGGCCTAGTATTCTAATAGGCGTTGATTTGCTATCTCTTGTCTAATTAAGTTCATACGCCTGAAATATCACAAGCTACTAATCCCGTGTAAATATGTTTAAGTTCAGTCCCATTTTCAACTAAACGAGCCGTCGCAACAGCTAATCATTAACTTCACTTATCAACCGTCATCTCGGTACTAACATATTCACAGCTTTGAAAAAATCGGTGCGTCACGATAACGCCTCTTATTGTGGCCGCTTCTAACTAAATATTATTATTATTATCCAACCCAGGCGATGGGACGACGCAAAGCCTCTGTCGCCCAAAACATGTCCTGTCGGATCCTCCAGATCCCCTTTCGGTTTTTTTAGGTTCATTAGTCACCGTTCTCGTCAAACTCGTCGAATGAGCCCCTTAGGCTAATTGCTGATAGGAAGAAAAAAAAACAAAAAAAAACATAAGCACACAATCTGTCGTTCATCTTCTATTCGATTGTCCTCAATGGAAAATATAGTCAAAATTTCGTTTACAATAAATAAACAATTTAAAACGCCCACTAAAAAGATGAGAAGAAATTTATGAGTGCTTTCTTCTTGCTTCGGTTTCCTCAATACTGAGGGTCGTGACCACCTCCTTGCAATAAGAGCTTATTACGGACCATTCCAAATTATGAGTGCTAAATAAATAAAAAATGGTGAACTTATTCCTTCAACTTGTTTTTTTCTTTTTGCTTCGTTGTTGTATACATAAAAAATAATTACATTCATTTGTACAAAGAGAAAAGTTAACAAAGGCGAGGTCAACGTAGATAGAAGACAATAAAATTGTCTACCCAATAAGGACCTTAACGAAGACCTTTCTAAATATTTTCAAAATATTTTTTGTATAGAAAATCTGGAAGATATCGAATAAGATCAAATGTGATGAATCGTAATCGTCAAAATAGATTTAAATTACCTCGATGGTACTACTGTACAATCCAAAGTTAAATCGTTATTAAACAAATTAGAAATAAACGAAAAATTCGCAAATTTCCTTGGAGACTGAGTTGAACCCACTAACGACTCTGCTGTTTATTTAAATGTCATATTATCTTAAGCAACCATTGAATTTTAAGGTACTGAAACGAATCCAAGATCATATTTTTAAATTCCAATTCAAATAAATACAGAATTGCTATAATCTTCTTAGCATAAATAATGATTATTTGATACTAAGCTTCTAAACCCTGCCTTTAGATTCACACAAATAAACGACCTTACTTGACTATGATATACTTCTATAAAGGAAGTAATGTCGCGATGTATAGTTAAGCTTTTAGCTTTGACTCGGACCGTACCTAATGCTGTCACTGCGTCATGTCTCACAATGCCATATAATTATAAGAATACTTTTGTAAAGTATAATTCAGTCCCCGCACCACGCTGCAGTGGCCAATAATAAATGAATTGTGACGACATAGATTAGGGTGATAACGCGAGCTACTGTGTTGCCTCGCAAAACAGTACCACATAAACGCTAGATAGATTTGACCAGCATCACGAAAATATTACGATCAAACTAGTTTCGGGCAGGAACGAAGCACAGACCTACAGCGCGGATGTTGTACGACTGACGATAAAAAAATAAATGTTCGTGTTTAAAACAGTACGTATGCAACGCGACGGTAAACATAGATATTAAACAGTGTTTTAAATTAAGAATACAAAACTTATTTGCCACAGTGACGTGAGATTGAGCGCACGTTTGTACTGAAAGTGAAAGTGTCCAAATAATAAGTTGCGGCGCGGATGCGTTTACGGTAGCGTCTGTGTTAGTGATGGGGAGTGCGGTACACGCTTCTGGCCCGCCCAGGGTCGGGAAGAAGATGAGGAAGAGGCGGGAATTGGACGCTTTAGTCGGTGTCGGATCTCGTGGGGGCAGACTGTTGTCTGCCTCTAGCGATGAAGGGGAACCTTGGGGCAGGCGTACGACGAGACGCCGTCGATCCCGCCCATTCGTTCGCCTGGCTGCAGGACTCGCTTTGTGCGTCTGTTTAGTGTCAGCTGCAACAGTATTATGGCTTTTCGTGGACGTTCGAAGACAAATCGTGTCGCTTCGAATGGAAATGGACAGAGGTTTGATATTTACTAAATTTAAAATAAACAATTTGCCACTATAGTATTCATGTCACGTTCCCTTGGAGTTAGTGCGTGGGTGTTGAATCAAGCTTCCAAACAATAACCATGTCGAACAACTTTGTGAGTCGCTAACCTATACTTTACTGTCGAATATGTAATTTTTTTTATTGCTTAGTTCGGTGGACGAGCTCGCAACCCACTTGGTTTTAAATGGTTACTGGAGCCCATAGACATCTACAACGTAAATGCCGCCACCCTGCAAACCGAAACGCATTACTGCTTCACGGCAGAAATAGGCAGGGTGGTGGTACCTATCCGTGCGGACTGACAAGAGATCCTACCACCAATATGAATATGAACATGTAATTTTTTGTTTCATAAACAATGACATTATAAACTTAGTCATACAAATTTTATTTGAGACATTTTATTGCCGATTAATTGTTATCGTTCTGCTCAATCTAAAATGATTCGTTATAGTGAATAGTGTAAGTCTAGTGTATAGACCTTGACGTCGGTTAATATATTTAGAGGTCATACATATCATTATCGTTTTTATAAACTGCACATATAATATGTCCAGGCTCATTGGTCAGTATCGCTAGTAGGTCGATGACACTGATAACTTTTACTAGAATAATAGGGACACTCTTTAATTTCTTTTTCTTTTTTATATATGTAGATACAGTTTCGTAGCTCGTATACAGTTTTTTTTTTAAATTGGGCCCAGTTTGCCAACTCTTATTTGTTTTGTCAAAGCATTTACTTTTAGCAAGGCGATTTTTTGCGTGTTTATTTTTAGATCGCCCTTGAATTCGCAGAAGTTTGAAATTTATCTACTCGTTTGTTTTTTTGAAACATATTTGCAAGGTGTAATCCAACGTGGAATACCTTAATTACGATATATGCAAAATACTCACAAATAGGAAAAGATAAAACGTTCAGTACCTTTTGCTCCTTTTTCTGTTTGATAACTAAATATATTTTTGTTTAGTAACTATGAACAAATTTTTGTTAATGTTAATTTGAAATGTAATCTTTTTACCTTTACAAAAAAATACAATATTACCCGTTCATTAACAAAATAAGAAACAAGAAAAAAAAACGACTTCATTAGTAAAAAACCTCAATTAAACTGTCTTAACACTGTCTGCAAAATATGCAATCTAATTTAATTGGATGACTATTTAAAATAATTATTTATTAAAATGATTATTTAAAAATAAATACTGAACCGATTTAAATTCATTTTCTATGGGACCAACGTAAAAGTATATAATTTTTAAATCGATTTATAAATGACTATATTCTATGGTAACAAACATAAAAAAAATCGACCGAATTGGAACCTGTTTTTTATTTTAAGTCTATCAAAAATCAATATAAATATTTTTCGTGTATCTCAGGAATGTGGACAAGATAGGACTATTATAACAAATTACATTATTATTTTAGCAACGTTTCGGTCTTTTATTAGACCTTCATCAGGCATCTGAAAATTACACATAATTGATAACCTACAATACAAAAAACAACAATTGTCCAAACTACCATATTTACCATAATATGAATTTAAATAATCNGTAAATATGGTAGTTTGGACAATTGTTGTTTTTTGTATTGTAGGTTATCAATTATGTGTAATTTTCAGATGCCTGATGAAGGTCTAATAAAAGACCGAAACGTTGCTAAAATAATAATGTAATTTGTTATAATAGTCCTATCTTGTCCACATTCCTGAGATACACGAAAAATATTTTATAATAATTATGGACGACAATATTGACAATATCAATATAAATATTGAGAGGTCATTGGTTATAGTCGAACTTCTATGAATAGGTATGAATTGTATGTATGTATATATTATATAATTGTGGATATGTAGTAAAGGATTTCTTGCTTATGTATTGTCTCGTATCGGAACCCAAGATAATTTTACGGCAGAAATGGCGGAACGTTGGTATATGCGTCTGTGCTCATAGCACGCGGACCCATTAATTTATTACAGTCACTAGTTACGACGAGCTACGTTGGAAAATGAGAATATAAAGATATATTATCATATCAAAACAAGTATAGAAAAACATTTTTTTTCCTACCTATGCCGATAGCCTTCAGAGGCTATTTCAGCTTCTCCTTAACGTGAAGGTGAGCTCACGGGGCTCTAACCGGGAGTGTTGCTAACACTGGCCCTAGCAAGAGCACTGCTTTGCAGAATCTACCACCGGATCGGACACGCGACCCACTGAGAAGATCCGGCGAGAAACTCAGTGGGCTGTGTCTATGGGTTAATTCACTCGTCGAGCCCTTCGCCGCAAGCGATGGGTTCGGCGAGGACAGTGACCGGTGCTTGTGGTACATAAAAGCACCGTTAATAAAAAAAAAAAATAACTTTTATTTCAAGACATCAGTCTCATATTGTGTTAGTATTACAAATAACTTACGAACTATGTTAGTATTTAAATAAATCAATCAACTCCGTCCCTGGCAGCCCCATCAAGCAGCATGTAGAACATGCAACTTGATGAACCTACCCAGGGTCGGGCCATCCAGTCTTTCAGCTAGTACCCTCAAGACGTTGTTGGTGCTTCCTCCTACTCTACGCATAATGNTGAAGCAATATACGTCGTACACAATTTTTCTACCCTTTCTTTTGATTACTACACCAGTTTGTCGCGGCATAGTGTATTTTTTATAAAAAATCAACAAACACTCAACAAATAGCAATGGCAACAAAGTCAACAAGCAATTATAACAAATAACTTAACGATTAATAACGATAGATTTTTCACTGTACGCAAGCGTACTTTTGGGAGCAAGCGGAATGAGGGCGCGGTGCGGGGCGCAGGGTTCGACTGATCTACCAATAACGCGCTCGATACGATTTCCCCTGCCGTCGCGCCTCACCCTCACCACCAAAGTGATCTAAAATTCGGTTCTGCGCAGTCAAGGTCATTTGCTCAAGATGTTTGCCGGTTACTATAACTGTGTATAGATGGGGAACTTTAAAACGTAGGTAATAAATACATTTGAATCGCAAACCCGTTTTTAAGTCGTAATCTTTGTTTTGTGTCTCAATTCTCAGTAGTTGAGACATAAAGTCGAATATCGAACAGTTCAAAATGTCAAACTATTATCGCTTTTTGTTTTATTGTATATAGCTTGTTGTTTTTTCTTGTGTGTGCGATAATTTCTTTGTTCTCTATATATATTTATTATCTGCATAGCGCCTAGACGTCGTTCTATGGTCCAAATAAAAAAAAAATGTCTGATCATACAATGCTTAACATGTCTTTGTATCAAAAATAATTTACGGACGATCTGAGGTCGGGAAGGGGATGGAGGGGGGAGGGGGGGTGTTTAAGGGTAAAAAACGGTTTTTCTCGATTTCCGGCAAAACTAAAAGTCCTATGGAAAAAAGTCAAATCGCAAAGTTGTAGGTAATAAAAAGATCTAAAACTTTTGTGTTTACACTTTCTTCACATAACCTAAAAATTTATGTGAAAAATTTAAAAAACCAAGATTTTGGTTTTTTATTTTTATCTTTTTCAAAAAAAAAACTTTTTTCACGAAATTTGGTGAAAGCTTACCTTTTTATGTCCCAAATACGCTGTAATTAATTTGATTAGAAATATTTATTTTTTCACCTTATTTTCAATTAATATCGAAAAACCACCCTAATTTTCAATCGAAAATTTACTTGTCAAAATATCAGCTTTTTTCAAAAAATTGGTATGTTTTCTGTTCGTTGAAATCTCTGCCTTCCGATGGTGAAAAAAAAACATGCTACTATAGTAAATCTTCTCAGAAAATTCAAAAAATCGAAAAAAACTCGAATTCGAATTTTTTTATTATTATTATATACAGTTTTAATTTTAAAATTTACACTTTAATTACTCAAAAATCATAAGATTACATGTTATATTGATAAAAAAAAATGCAAATCGAAATATACTACTATAATTAACAAACAAATAAGTTAATAAAATTAATATGTAATAAGACATCTACAATATTTGGAGAAAGTTCTCGAATCTTCTTTAAATTATATGCGTAGATGCATATTTTATAACTATTTTTAGATAACTTATATACCGGAGTGACCTACGAAAAATTTTAGCCCATCAAAAGGTATTTGAAATATATGAAATATACATGAAAATGTGTTTCTATGATCTGTGTTAGTCACTTAGCTGAACACGAGTCTTATTAATCCTTGCCCGATATAGAGACTCAACACTCGTAATACCTTGCATATAATACATAGGTATATAGATAATTCGCATTTTGAGATGAACTCTAATTTGTTTATCTTAAATTATAAAACAGTAATTATTAAATATTTATCTGTAACATACATATCACGAAGACAAGGTTTGTTTAAATTACATATTTACAATTTACATAGTCGTACGGAGTTCACGGTCGTCAATATTGGCTTTGGGACGTGAGACTTGTTAATTATATGCGCAAGCCAACATTCATTTGTCCTATCTATCTAGTTATTAATACGCCTCCAGTACAAATACGGAAAATTATGGTTTTTCGAATCATTAGCTGATGTGTATTTGTTTTTGTATGCGTATTTGTTTTGTTTTTGTATGTTTTGTACGTGTATTCTTGCTATTGTGTGGAGAGAGCAGTGTGCTTAGTGCTATATAGTTTTTTTTATAATTTTGATCGCGTATAGAGTTGGAAACGTTCTACGTTTGCCGCTAGGGGCGCTGTTCCAACTCCATACAATTTGAGTTAACTTTTACGCGATCGAGCAGTTAAAAAACTCGCACTAAGCACGCAACGCAGACGAGCTTGCTACCCGCATGGTTACAGTGCGAATTACACCTCGAGACATTAGATCGAAGACTCGATAGTTTTGTATAATGTCTGCTCCACGATTTAAACTATAGTGCATTATTACTTACGACAGTTTCAGGCAGGATTGTCGTAGCTAGATGCTATCTGACTATATAGCCTGATTAGATGTTGTAACCGTGTCACGCCTTTTCATTACCTTTGTTGGTAGAGAAGCATTTCCATCTTTCTAATGGTATGTGGCCACCGTCACTCATGGATATCAGCAATGTCACGGGCGCACAGCCAAGCCACTGCGTGCTGTTGAGGACTCTTCTCAAACCTAGCTCAAATATGGACATATCCATGTATTTTTTGTGTTTAATGTTTTTTATTTGTTTTGTTTTTATATTTATGCACAATAAAACATACTTTACTTTAAAATTACTGGCTGTATACATATAAACTTTTAAGGAGAAACGTATTATCTTAAAGACCTTTTACCCTACATGTTCCTTGTTAGTTGTAAACCTAGTAAAAAACGATAAATAATCAAACATTCATGTTCGTAACGCAAACTTAACCATTGTTATATCTTATTGCGGCTAAAGAACTCCAATTAATCGGTTTCCTTTTCGTTGTCCTTAGTATCCACAAGCAGTGCCAGCGTGACCGACGCCCTGCAGATATGCCACACGGCAGCGAAAGAATTGAGAGGCAATACGAGCGTGCTGAGTCACAAACTCGCCGAATTAGAGGAACAGCATCAAATACTCGTGAGCCGTGTCGACGCGGCCACTCAGGACCTGGCGACGCTCTCTAAGAAGCTCGATGGAGCACCGACGCTTGCAGACACGCCGATGCGACTCGCCGAGCTACAAAGGACCGTCGCCGTCTTCGGATCCGAGGTTAAATCCTTGACTAATCCAGTTTTATTAACGCAACGAATCTTAAGTCACTATTGACAATTGTAAATGTCTATAATATATAAATCTACAGCGGTTTTTATGGATGTTCCGCTATAACTACTGAACCATCCATCCGATTGAATTGAAATTTGGTATCCACGTTTTTTATTTTTTTATTGCCCTTGTAGGCAGACGAGCATGCGGCCCACCTGATGGTGAGTGGTTACCCATGGACTTCAGCAACGCCAGGGCAGAGCCAAGCCGCTGCCTACCGAAAATACATGTACTTAATGGATAGGCCAATATTTATATGAGCGTTGGACTCCCTACACCAGTTGCGGGGGCGTTAACGATGAGAATGTTTGTGGGGGTGAGAAATAATAATGTTAATTTTAAATACCCAGCGAAGCGGACGGGTACAGCTGGCCTATTTATATACCTCTATTATTCTTCAGGTCTATCTATACAAAGAAATGCAATTTTTATCATCTTTAAAACGCTGATCCACTTGAAAATTTGTACGCACGTATCAAGGGCTAATGACGATACATTTCTATTTATTTAACTGGTTCTTATATACTTTTGTTTTAGTCTAAATAAGTTCAACGGCGGTTGCAACGCCTATGAAATATCGGAACACGTTTAATATATAATAATTAATGTTTATAATTTTATATTATAATCAGAATAGATATTTTTATATATCGTATCTATCGTATTGATATCTTTAACCTGAATAAAAACAGGGCAGTAACGATTATGTGCATTCAAACAAACAGATAAAGAGCTTAGATGGTTCTCTGCAATCGGCGAAGAATCAGGCCCTGACCGCCACAACGGGGATAGAAGAAGTACGCAATTTGCTGCGTCAGCTCGATGCGAGGACGAATGAAACCATATCCAATGTAACCGCCAACCAGAAGGCCAATCACGAGCTGAAGGATGACGTCACGAGTCTGAATAAAACGATAGTGGCCAAAGTGGAAGCCTTGCAGACGAGGATAGACGAGATCCAAGTAAGCGTTGTTCAAGTATTCGATATGTCACTTAATCTGTATTGTTTACCTTATGCAGCGATCGCGCGGAAACAACCTCCGATAAAGGTCGATGAATTACTTACTATAATAATTAGCCCGATTAAATTGAATGGCGCATACATTTCCGTTTTCATTTAATATAATTACAGCTTTATTATGTACAGCTGACCCGGCAGACTTCGTAGGGCCTCAATCGATAAATAAAAGACCTAAAGTTTTGTATAAAATAAACTTAAAACAAACAAAAGGAATCCGTCCGACGGGGGACACATCGAAGGAAAAACAAAATTGTTATTTTTATTTAATTCTGAGCATTTTCATAATTTTTAAACCTTCTCTGGACTTCCACCAATAATTCAAGACCAAAATTAGCCAAATCGATCCATCCTTTCTCGAGTTTTAGCGAGACTAACGAACAGCAATTCATTTTTTTTTTTATACATATATATAGATTCGATATAATGTACTTTGCGTTGTTTGGTGAAAGTAACGTATCTATATTTATTATTTGGATTAAATATCGACTGTAATTTTAGTTCATTATAAATTTTAAAGACCCATACTAAAACACTAATAGTATAATATTATTGGCGTTGTTTAGCAAATTGTTTTAACAACATCGATATGTACAGTTGTATTTGCTTTAAAAAAATTAAAATAAAAATTCGTCTCAAAGTGGGTAGCGACATTAGCATTGTCGATGTCTATGGACTCCAGTAACCACTTAACACCAGGGCCATGAGTCTACCCAACTAAGCAAAAAAAAGCTTTAGTACAAGTGAAAATTGATTGGGGTAACTACTCGTATACTGAGACCTTAGAACTTATATCTCAAGGTGGGTGGCGCATTTACGTTGTAGATGTCTATGGGCCCCAGTAACCACTTAACACCAGGTGGGCTTTGAGCTCGTCCACCCATCTAAGCAATAAATAAAAAAAAATCATGTACCACTTAATTGATAGTCAGCACTTTAGTTTTTTTTTTCATTACGTGGGTACGCTATTTCGCTATTATGGCTAATTAATGTTCACAACGTCACAACGATCACAATACCATCGCTGACCTTTGAATTGTTTGAGATGACACCATGATCTCGTTTTTGCCATCGCACCGCCCGCCACCGGAGTAGAGTTCATCCAAACTACCTGGAACCACTGCGGTCATCCACAGTGCGTTTCCAGAGATCTTTATTGCCACGTATACCATCCGGCTTCGGAATGAGCTCCCCTCCACGGTGTTTCCCGAGCGCTATGACATGTCCTTCTTCAAATGAGGCTTGTGGAGAGTATTAAGCGGTAGGCAGCGACTTGGCTTTGCCCCTGGCGTTAATGACGTCTATGAGCGACGGTAACCACCCAATAAAAAAAATCTTGAAACGTGGTCGAAATCTTAGTTGTTTTGAAGAATGGCTAACCCACTCTAGAAACCAGAGACCCTGACTGCTTTGCAACAGAATGTTATAGTACATTTGAACTCAAAATACGCCCTACCAGTAATTACGCGATATGAATTTTGTGAGTTTAAACCGGTCATCGTTCTCGTCGAACCCGTCGCTTGCGACAAAGGGCTCGACGAGTAAATTAACCCTCAGACACAGCCCACTGAGTTTCTCGCCGGATCTTCTCAGTGAATCGCGTTTTCGATCCGGTGGTAGATTCAGCGAAGCACGGCTCTTGCTAGGGTTCGTGTTAGCAACGTCATCAGGTTTGACCTCGTGAGTACTAGTTAAAGCTACGCTAATATAGCCTCTCAAGGCTATCTATCAGCTTAGGTAGGGAAAAAAAAGTGAGTTTTATTTAAAAACTCTGTTAATAATAAATATATATTTATTTCAATTTCGCCAATGGACCTTTATGAATATTCATACATGAAAATTCGAAAAACAATTTCCTTGACATAACCAAACGTTAAGGTCGACAATCGCTTGAACGTGTTTTCCATTTTAATACACGTTTACATATTTACTCGTATACGTAAATGGTTTTTATTGCCTTGTGCATTCTAATGCCTATTGCCTCGAGAAAATGTTTTATTCCATGCGTGTTTAAATCTTCTCTATTGAGATTTGCTGATAATTGTACGTTTTCTTCAACATTTATTGGAGTCGACATTTAAACTAGTTCTTGGTTACTTTATAGATATATTGAGACGTGCATTCAGTATCAACAGCTTCTTATTCGTAAGAATCTGTAAACTTATTTTTATAAGTCCGCAAATTTCAATTTTGAATGCGTAATTGTTTTTTACATAAATAGGAAATGCCAAATTGGCTAGTAAATAAAACCGGCTCCGATTATTATTGTATATGCTGAATGGTGCTTATTTATTAGGAAACCTCACCCATCAGACCATGGAGTCTTCAACTTTTTTTTTCTTTTTTTGCTACGTATGCTAATAGACTTGAGAGGCTATATCAGCTTCACCCTAACGTGTAAGTGAGCTCACGGGGCTCAAACCGGAGTGGTGATAACACTGGCCCTAGCAAGGGCAGTGCTTTGCAGAATCTACCGCCGGATCGGAAACGCGACCCACTGAGAAGATCCGGCGAGAAGCTCAATGGGCTGTGTCTGTGGGTTAATTCGCTCCGTCCTCGCGACGGGTTCGTCCTCGTCGGTGACCGGAGGCTTCAACACAATCCAGTCTAGAGGTTACAGCGAATGCTAAATGAGTGCTATTCTCCGTGTGCACAGAAGCCGGTCAGCACAGCGGCGCCCTCTGCAGCAGCGCCAACCACAACCAGCAGCACGACCACTACGAGTACGTCGGCAGCCACGCAGGCCCAACCAGCAGGTATACTATAGATATATTATCTATACTAAGATTATAAAGAGGAAAGATTTGTTTGTTTGTTTGTATTGAATAGACTCCGAAATTACTAAACCGATTTGAAAAATTCTTTCATTATTTGGAAGCTACACTACTCCCGAGTGACATAGGCTATAATGTTTTTGGAAAAAATTAGAGATCCTACTTAAAATTCTTTACATCGCGTGCCCTGCGAAAACTATTGATTATAGAATAAAATAATGTACTACGACTTTGTAGAGCACATTATTATTTACAAAAAGTGTCGCGACAGCATATGTCTGACTATTATAGTTATGCCGAAATAAGTGTTTTTTTTATTTAAAAAATAAAACAACGTCAAATGTCGTTGAAATTTTTGTTAAGGACCCGAGCGGAGCCGCAGCGGGCCGCTTGTATATTATATAGACAAACAATTCTCCATGTCTTATAATCGGTGCAGACTTTGCATCTAAGGCAGTGTTGGAGCGCAAGTGGCTCCATCTATAACAATCACATTGTTTTCTGTTACTGGTGGTAGGACCTCTTGTGAGTCCGCGCGGGTGGGTACCACCACCCTGCCTATTTCTGCCGTGAAGCAGTAATGCGTTTCGGTTTGAAGGGTGGGGCAGCCGTTGTAACTAACTTGAGACCTTAGAACTTATATCTCTAGGTGGGTGGCGCATTTACGTTGTGGATGTCTATGGGCTCCAGTAACCACTTAACACCAGGTGGGCTGTGAGCTCGTCCACACATCTAAGCAATAAAAATAAAAAAAATTTTTTGTCCGCTATCGTATATTCTTCGATTTACACGAGTCGTCGACGTAATTAACGACCAATATTTTTACGGTTTAGTGTCTCGTTTTTTTTATCGATGTTATATTATTTCAGAAGTTTGGAATGACCGCGAAAATTGTAAAGTATTGCATTTGTGACGCGCGCACAGTCCGACGTCAGTGTGCTTAGTTCGAGTTTTTTAACGTTCTCGATAGCGTAAAAGTTACCTGAAATTTGTATTCAGTTGGAACAGTGGGCCTAGCGGCAAACATAGGCAACGTTCCAACTCCATACAAATTTGACTTAACTCTTACGCTATCGAGAATGTTAAAAAACTCGCACTAAACACACTAGCACTGGTGGTAGGACCTCTTGGGAGTCTGCACGGGTAGGTACCACCACCCCGCCTATTTCCGCCGTGAAGCAGTAATGCGTTTCGGTTCGAAGGGTGGGGTAGCCGTTGTACTTATACTGAGACCTTAGAACTTATATCTCGAGGTGGGTGGCGCATTTACGTTGTAGATGTCTATGGGCTCCAGTAACCACTCAACACCAGGTGGGCTGTGAGGTCGTCCATCCATCAAAGCAATAAAAAAAAAAACAGTACTGGAGAGTTTTTCTTTTCCACCACAGGCCATTTAGAACAACTGCCATGTTGTATTATTTAAGCAACGTTTTAATATCTCACCTGTCTAAATCATCACAAAATAAATTTCATTGTAGTTTTTTAAATATAATAAATCGTTATAAATATGTTTCAGGACCGCCAATGAAGCCAACGGTACTTTAAGATTTTAAAGTATACAAGCGGATGGAGAAGTGCTCATGAGTGATCTCAAAAGGCCTGACGTCCACCAACTTTATAGTACGATTCGCAGTTCGTCCTTTGACTTTTCAACAAACTGTGTGCTTAGTGCGAGTTTTTTAACGTTCTCGATAGCGTAAAAGTTAACTCATATTTGTATGGAATGGGATCGTTTGCCTACGTTTGCCGCTAGGGGCGCTGTTCCAACTGCATACAAAATTGAGCTAACTTTTACGCTATCGAGAACGTTAAAGAACTCGCACTAAGCACGCTGATTAGTTGAAACCGATACGAAAATAGATTTCAAATAATAACTGGGCGTACCCTGCATTTTTATCTACGTGAATGATCATGTTCTTGTATAAACAAATTGAATGTCGATTCTTAAGTAACCTTCGAAAAAATATTTATCCATTGCTTCGTTACTGCGTAAGAAAATGACAAATACGCAATGGCTTTTGTAATATAATAATAATAATTTGAAGAAAAAAAAAATCGATTCCAAACCACGCTGATTGGTGGAATCAGCTGGCAATTTAAATAAAAATATACGTGGTTGGGTAATTTATGATTAAGTAAGAAGATCCGTCGTAACATCCGTCGTGATATTAACAGAAATGAGAGTGCAGGAAATTACTAGCAATAGTGCTGTCCTATTATCGAAATTCAAATTCAATTTATCGATAAAAATATTAACAGTAAAAGTGCTAATAGTATATATTGAAATTAAATTCTCGACAGCCTGATTTGACATGGTAATTAGAATGAAATGATTACATTATACCGCAAGGTTAAAACGCAAAATTGAACCCGGTTAATGTTACGCATATTATTGTTTTCATTAAGCTTACATTTAATCTTCTCCATAAATAAAATACTGCTTTAGATACTTTTCCCAATTTAAAATAACTGCGTAATAAAAATGAGCATGTTATTTTTATCGGCTTCTTAAAATTGAAACGTGGGATCAAAATCATTCGCTAATTTAATTACTAACCGGTTTTATAAATTTTACATTGTTATGCATTCTCTTGCTTCTTCTATTGACAATGTATTCTATCTCCGAAAGATTTAATATAATAACAAAACTACATTTGTTCGTGTGTGTGAGTTTATAATCCTCTTTAGTATTAAAGTATAAAAATAATTTGATACTTTGTGTTTTGAATTTGAAATGTTTCAAAAAGTATGTAGTTATTTCATTATGTCGTACTCACATATGCACTGTGTTAAAACGTGTGATTTGACATTAATGTTTTAAGTTAAAAGATAAGTTCTGAATGTCATGAAAGTCTTTAAAACTTCTTACTCTACTTACTCTCTTTAGAACTTCAAAATTCATTAAGAACCTTCATGACATTCAAAAAAAAATTCATGAAAACATCATTCAATGTTCATATTTTGTCATCGTAAGAATGTCTGACGGATAACGGAAGCTATTTTTATTGATTTTTAAATATTCTTTATAAGTTAATTATTTGATCAAGCTTATCTCGTTATGCCAAATTTCATGAAATGCCAGAAATCATCTTTCGTTTTCGGGAATCGGTTTCTTAATTATATTTCAAATATCATGATAATTCTATACCATTGTGTTCAAATGTTTGAATAAGCCAAAATATAAAAGTCAGAGGACCTGCCGTGACTCACGCGCTTAGCTCAGTTGTTATGATAAAAGGAACCCTCCATTTCGTTCTAAGGAATATATTATTATGACATTTGATGGTCGTTAACCTGGATGACAGTGACAGCTTTTGACAGTATTTAAAAATATTTCGAATAATAAAAAAAAACACATTTTCACTTTTTCTTGTATCTACATTTTTCAGTTACATCGTGTACTCTTTTTAGGTTAAGATACGTTCTGTTATAATGTTTGAAAGAAGATATTTAATTTAAAAAGTGTGGCGTAAAAATATTTTATATAAAATAAATCATTTAATGACTTTTATTCACTATTATACTCTTGAGAAATCTATTAAAAATATGTTCGTCAATGGAATGAGATAAATTATAAACGAATTTTTTTTGTGTGTGTGTGCAATACTTCGCACTGGAAACTGTGGCTGCTTTTAATGGAAACATCAGAAACCCGATGATATTGAAAGAAACAACTATTATTATTTGTAAACTTGAGAATGAGAGCAGTGAGAAAAACTACATAACTAAACTGTATACTTTGTTTTTGTTAAATCTAAACAAGTAGCGAAATTTTTATTTTGACAACAATGCTATTTATTTTAAAACGTGGTACTCCGAAACAAGAAACTTAAAAGTTACCCTCAACGTAATGAATTAAAAACTATAATATTTTATTATGTAATTAATTATTATACTATATATTGAGCGATAATGATTTTCACTTTTTAAACAATACAATTAATAATTATTTCCATATTATTTCTTATTCTTCTCTCAGCTATATGAAACTATAAAAGTTAAACTTATCAAGAATCGAAAATGTCTCTTAAAGCATTTAAATATGATTGCAAATTCTTTACATAATTTTGATCTATAATACAATTTTTCGTGAATGCCTTTCCAGTGATTTCGAGCCGCACTAAGATTGTAGAAAAACATTAAATTTTACCTTAAGTTTCTTTTTAAGAGTATCCACTGTTAAGACCAAAAGAACGCAATAATCATTCCGAGTGAGAACTTATACAGTTATTGTAAATATTGTAGTAATAGTTTACAATTGTAATAATTAATTTAATTATACAATGGACGCGCACTTCATTTTAGAGTTGTCGACTGGAGTGTGGATGTTGTGTTGTAATAAATTATTGTTATTATTTTTTGATTATTTTATTTGAGTATCTATTTTTTATATGCAGGTAGATGGAAACTTAAGGATGTTTTTTATTTTACTGTCGTAGATGAAGCTCACAGAAGATCCGGCGAGAAACTCAGTGGGTTGTGTCTATGGGCTAATTTACTCGTCGAGCCCTTCGTCGCAAGCGACGGGTTCGACAAGGACGGTGACTGGTGCTTGAGGTACCTAAAAGCACCCTTAATGGATCGGGAGGATCCGTAATGATGTGTTTAGGGTCTGATGCTATGGACTAAGGTTTACATCTAATTCTCGTTTGCAGTGAGTTTGACAAATACATTTTCTTCCGTTTTTTTTTGCTTAGATGGGTGGACGAGCTCACAGTCCACCTGGTGTAAAGTGGTTACTGGAGCCCATAGACATCCACAACGTAAATGCGCCACCCACCTTGAGATACAAGTTAGAAGGTCTCAAGTATAGTTACAATGGCTGCCCCACCCTTCAAACCGAAACGCATTACTGCTTCACGGCAGAAATAGGCAGGGTGGTGGTACCCACCCGCGCGGACTCACAAGAGGTCCTACCACCAGTGAAGTGAAGTGAGTTCGCACAGCAATGTTAATCCAAACTAATTAATGTTTTTAGTGGTGCCATACCATAACGAAGGGTCATTGTGGAAGTAGGGCCGTGTGGGATTAAGATGAAACCAAAAATCAGACGGTTGTGGTTGATTCCTTCAATCAATTTGTATGTGAGAAAAGTCTCATTAACCAAAATAAAACCAAAGTGTTTTAATAACAAAATATATTTATTCAGTCACATGATTATGTGGATGAGAACCTTTTGATTGTATTTACATTAGAATAAAATAAATATGTCAAAAATACAATTAATTCAAATGCAATATCGTTAGTGGGTAGGCTATGAAACTATTACTGGAAAAACATTACCCAGCATAGAACCTATTGTTGATTTGAAGTCAATAGTAAAGAATCACATTCATAGACGCATAGATAGATAAGTGTGTTTTCAGTTGAAAAATTTTTTTGATTCAATTCAGCTTTTTTGGTCACTAATGAGTTTCCATTAGAAATATTAGGTATTTTCCTACGAAATTGCCGTTTAGTATACAGAAAGCTAATAATTTTTTTTAATAAGTTTTTTTTATAATTTAAAATTTGCAATCACTATCGATACATCTTTGACAACGCAGTTGTGGTTTTTGCAATGCCTTTCTTGAATAAGTCAGATATACGTGAGCCAACGACCTCTTCATAGGTTTTTTCACACGACCATAGAGTTCATTTTTAGATCAAAATTTCCGTGTCGAAAGCGTTCAAGCCAATAACGAGTCGTGCGTTCGTTTGTAGTTCACTACGTACACGTCATGTAATGTTGTGAGCCGTTTGTGCGCCATTGCTACCGCGACGGAACACGTGCTCCATAATTATTCGTATTATATCCATATTGATAAAAAAAATACAACACTATATTTAAATTTAGAATTTATTGCTCGCGATACATCAATTACGTTTAAAATGGCCAGTATTATTAAACGGCAACTTTATAGGTTATGTCGAGAAAACTGTCAGCTTTTATTGAAGTGAAACTTCTAATGCGACTTTCAACAAGGTTGCGTTAAATGTTTAACGCTCCTGGGGAGGGGAAATAGAAAGATACAGAGCGAGAGTAGATGCGTGGCACTCGATCGCATGCGCGTAGATAACGTTATAGGTCAGCGCGAGCGCTAGTAACGCGTAGCGTCCTATATTTTAATGAAGTATTTAAAAAAATTATTCTGCTATCTATAATTTTAAAAAAAATGTATAAATGTTGAAGATGTCGCATCTCTTATACACAGCATTCGCTATTACAAGAGCAATCTGATTTAAGGATGAAAAATGAAGAAACCCACACAGAACTACACATCGAAATAGAAGTTTCACTTCATTCACGTGCACCAAGTTGCAGGCGCACCGTTTTTTTTTAAATGTTCCTAAAAACGTTAAGAAATTAGTTTCGAATTTTAAAATATTAATTCTTAACGATGCCTACGTTTTTAGCGACCTCTGCGAAGGCTTGCACCGCTCGGGTGACGTCACCGGGCGAGTGCGCCGCGCTCAGTTGCACCCGCACTCGCGCCGCGCCCTTCGGCACCACGGGGTAGCTGAAGGCGACCACGTAGACACCACGCTCTGGAGGAGACAATAATGAAAATTAATATCGATAGAGGCCAAAATTCGACCATTATGAATTTTATACTTTTTTGCTGCTATATCGTCTTCTCGCAATAAAACTGTATAATCTCAAAACTTCATAATTTTACAGGAGAGCGTTTTAAAGGTTTAACATGTGATATTTTTAATATTAATCATCTTTGCAATGTTTATTTTGAATTTTTTACCAGTTACATTATCCGTCTTTTAAAGTATGATAAAGTTATATATTAATTTTGTTAATAGCAATCAAAACATAGTGAACTAAAAAAAAAAACTAAACTACGCTCTTTTGACAGTATTTATGAGAAAAATATTCATGATACCAAATGATTTAACTGAATTTCGAATATTTTTGGAAATTGTACACTTTAAATGCGAAAAGATGATATGACGACGAGTTCACTTGCATATTCCGTGGTTTCCTCAGTCCATTGACGTTATAGGTATGTGGCCATCTAGCGTGGGACTTAACGTCGCTGTCAAAACAAAATCTGCTATGTGCAAAAACTCTATTTTGAATTAACGAGTAAAAACATTTTCGTATAGAAATTTATATGAAGGCGAATTATTAAGAACTATATCAAATGAAAGTTATAGATAAATATTAAAGCTATAGACACGTAAAAGTTTTTTTATACGGTAGATAGGTCTCTGAACTATACGAAAAGGTCAAAAAGTTAAAATCTCAAAAAGTGCACATAGCAGATGTTGGTTTGACAAAGCTCGAAGAGTCAATTACATTATACAACAGTAATCATTGACTTACACACATATAGATCAGATCGAACTTTTATTTATTTATTGCTATGCGGTTACCGGAGCCCATAGACATCTAAAACGTAAATGCGCCACCCACCTTGAGATATAAGTTCTAGTCTCAAGTATAGTTACAATGGCTGTCCCGCCATTCAATCCGAAACGCATTACTGCTTCACGGCAAAAATAGGTGGTGGTACCTATCTGTGCGGACTCAGAAGAGGTCTTACCACCAGTAATTACGCAAATTATAATTTTGCGGGTTTTTATTTTTATTACACGATGTTATTCCTACACCTTGGAAGTCAATCGTGAACATTTGGTAAGTACATATTTCATTAGAAAATTTGATACCCGCCTGCGAGATTCGAACACCGGGGTGCATCGCTAGATACGAATGCACCGGACGTCTTATCCTTTAAGCCACGACGACTTCAATGATCAAAGAAGGACACAATTATTTTCCTCACCTAACATTCCTGAAGCCAAGTCCACAGCCAGTGATGCTTCTCCAACCATTACCGGACAAATGGGATGGTCGTCTCCTGCCACAGTGAGGCCGGCCGCCTTCAATCCTTCACGGAAAGCTGTCGTGTTCTGGCGTAGACGTTGACGTAGTTCTCCGCTACGTTCTACCAAGTCTAGAGACTGAATAAAAAGGATCTTATGTATACACACATCAGGACATGGGATTTGAGAGCGGATGCTAAATTATCAAATACTAGCTTTTGCCCGCGATTTCGTCCGCGTGGAATGTGTAGTTACTTTGGGATAACGCTTAATTTTACCCGCGACTTTATTTACGTAGCAGGTGAAAATATTTTTGAATATAAATGTTTAGAAGCTATATAAGGTACCAAAATCACGCGTTTTAACCGACTTCAAAAGAAGAGTAATAAACTCCTCTTCGACCTCGACGACCATTTTTCATATTGTAACATGATTTCTAGAGAATGCAAGAACCGATTCTGATAATCTACAATTTTTAAATCAGACCAGCAGTTTCTGAGATTAGCGCGTTCAAACAAACAAACTCTTCATCTTTATAATATTAGTGTAGATACGAATATAATTTTAAAGTATGCAACAATTTTATGGTAATTAATACATTTTTTCAACGTGAATGTGATCTTCCATCTAGTGACGTGAAACCTATACCTGTATCGCGGCAGAAACAAATGGGACGTGGATTAATAAAAACATAAAAAATAGTGGGTATGTTTACCTTTAAAGAGGCTGCCACCACGGGAGGTGGAGGCGCGTTCGAGAAGAGATAGGGCCTGGACACGTTCCTAAGTAATGTGACCAGCTCTTTCGGTCCGGTTGTATAGCCGCCAGCCGCTCCACTCACTGCTTTGCCCAGGGTCGAGCAGATGATATCCGCCGCCCCCATAACACCGCAATACTCTTCAGTGCCTCTGTGCGAAATGGGACTCTTTTAAGTAGTAGAGCATACGGCCCACGTGACCGTGAGTGGTTACTGTCGCTCACAGTACCGTGGTCTTAAAATCTTTTTTAATACGTTTTTTTATTAGTTAGATGGGTGGAAGAGCTCACAGCCCACCTGGTGTTATGTGATTACCGGAGCCCATAGACATCTACAACGTAAATACGCCACCCACATTGAGAGATAAGTTCTAAGGTCTCAGTATAGTTACAACGGCTGCCCCCACCCTTCAAACCGAAACGCATTGCTGCTTCACGGCAGAAATAGGCAGGGCGGTGGTATCTACCCGTGCGGACTCACAAGAGGTCCTACCACCAGTAACATTTGTTGGAGCGCAAGTGGCTCCATCTATAGCACATTGTTTTCTCTATAATTATAAGCTATCGTATATTTTTAGATTTTCCCGAGTCGACGTAATTAGCAACCAATATTATGGTTTAGTGTCTCGTTTTTTTATCGACCACCACCACTCACCGCCACCGTGAGATAAGAGTTCTAAGGTCTCAGTTTTAATCAATACCATAACTTTTACCAACACAAATTACAACAATACTTACCGGCCGGTTTCCCCGAAGAAGCCGGTCGCATGGCTGTCATCAACTACTAATAAAGCTCTATATTTATCCGCCAGATCCCTCAGACCTTTTATTGGAGCCACAGTCCCGTCCATGGAAAATACCCCGTCTGTTACGATAAGCTTGATTCTTGCTTCGCTGTGCGCTAACAAGTGCTCCAATTCTGTGGGTAAAGGTTTTTTTTTATAATTGGCTATATAGAGAAATGAGTTTTTGTTTCCCACCAAGATCGTCTCTGGCGCTATATCTATAATACTAATATATAAATCTATAGTGGTTTTTACGGATGTTTCGCTATAACTACTGAACCATGCATCTGATTGACTTGAAACTTGGTATCCATGTACAAAACTCATGTACTTAATGAATAGGCTAATATTTATATGAGTGTTGGACTCCCTAATAATAATGACAATAAATAATAGTAATGTTAATTTTAAATGCCCAGCGAAGCGGGCGATTACGTCTAGTAATGAATATTTACGTGATGTCGATTGTCCGTGGTCTAATAATTCAGAAGACTGATCTAATAGTCTTCTACAATAACTAAGGCATTGTATCATATAATTTGAAACGGGAAAGAAAGTTGTTTACGTACTTTACTTTAAATATTCAGCTTATCTAGCGCATGGAATCTAGAATTCAATTTAGAAATGTGTTTTGAAAATGTGTGTAGGTATGTTGTCGGAGGGAGTTATCGAGATCCATGGGTATAACCAAAAAACGGACTAGAAAGGAGGTAGAGACACTTAATGTCCTACCTGAAGACTTCAGTGATCATAAGTTTTCATTATTTTATTATTACTTTTTTATTTTTTACTGCATGATATTGTCTTCTATAATATTGCACTGTCGTTTGTAACCTATAATTGAGGTGACATTTGTCACGTGACTCCCTGTCAATTCGTCGGTATTCTGAATTGTTGATCATTTTGTTAATACAACCAATTTAAATAAATAAAACATTATGCATAAAAAACAGTAAAACATCTGGAACTCACCAAATATGAAAAACGTGGTAAGAACCAGTTGAATAATAGTGCAAGTGTTTAAGACATGTCGATAAGGATGCTTTTGTATAAGCCGCGCCAATAAAAAACGAATCGAAAATGGCGTCTATGTACCTGCACTGACACATGGTAGGGCCAACAAATAAAAGGAAAGATAGAAAGAAAAAGTTGTTTATTGTAAAAAAATATAAAAAACCAAATGAGAATGCACTTTACTTTACTTTATGCCCTGGCAGAGAAGGAAGTGTCTAATCTGGGATGCAACTTGCGTAGACACTTTTGCTGCCAGTCATATAAGTCGCACAACTCGAAAGTGAAAAAATTCGAACTCAACAACAAAGTCAGAACTGATATTTTCTTTGCATGCAGTACGCGCTGTGTGCGACTAAAGACAGCAATACTTTAGAGTGAGAGCGCACGATCGCCGCCGCCATTTTAGAGTCGTTTCTTTATTGGCGCGGCTTATATCGTGTTTTCTTACCGGTCAAATCTCTGTGAGGGTATCGGTATTTCTGCGCCTTGCAGAGCCTGATCCCGTCTATTATGGACGCGTGGTTCAAAGTGTCCGAGAACACCGCGTCTTCAGGCGTCAGCATGGACTCGAACAGGCCTGCGTTGGCGTCGAAACAAGACCCGTAAAGGATTGTGTCTTCGCGGCCGTGGAACTGAGACAGGCGGTTCTCTAGCTCCTGGATTTAGTAAGCATGGTCGAAAATTAATCTAGCGCTTTAGCTAAAGCCGTCTCCCTATCATCTGTTTGTAAAAACCGTATTGTCCCTTGCGCTGCTAAAGGCACTGTCTTATCACAAAATGATCACGTTTTGTTTACGATTTGCTACACTTACATGGCTAAATTACATCAGTACAAAATATATAATATAGGGAAACTGAAAAAAAAGGTTTTAAAAAAAATACATGTCAAAGAACTCCGTCTTGTAGTATCAGTGACAGCAAGTAAATGTATTTGGAATTCGGAGTTCCCTTCTCTTGTCTCGTATGAGTATGATTCAATTGTGCTCATAGGCAGATCGAGGCCGCTATATGTAGAATATTAAGTTTAATTGCCGTCCCGTCTAATATTACAGAGCCAAATTTTATTTTTAGATGAGGAAAAATATAAAAATTAATATTATATATCGTACGGTGACCAACACGAAAACAAATTATTACAATTAATTAAATTACCTATGTACTGATTTTGAATAAATGATATTACCGATGGAATTAATTTTTTTAAGGGATTTTATGACCTGGTAACTAAGACATTTAGGTCAAATCTTATTTTAATTTTAATGAAAACTTTTTTATATGAAAGATGATATTATGAAATGAAGTTGATTAATATGAAAAATGGCATGAAATGAAATGAAATGAAAACGAAATGAAATGAGATGAGCGGATATAAGATGAAATATAATCTCAGTAAAATGGTGGTCAGTATTGAGACTTTTTCAGTGGACTTTTGGAGAATCCCGAGAAGTTACGTTCAGCGGCTTTAGTTTTGATTTTCCCATATTTGTACCCTTTCACAGATTCTAAACAGTTAATAAGCCACCGTTATTACACATTTAAACCTGAAGAAACACTACATAGACAAAATAAAACAAATCACACTTCACTCCTCGCGTTCCCGCCAAAAAGTCCCACAATAGACATTATATTCCGAAGCTTACAGATTAATTTAACGACAGATTAACTTCGAAGCTACCTCCTCTTCATTGAGAAAATTGTTAACGATCGATATTCATAGGTGTATTGTTTGAAACAAACTATTGTCTCCGTGACGAGAAGCTATAAATTTTGTAAACATAGAACTTCTACTAAGTTATGTTATTACGTAGCGACAATTCAATCAACCACAAATAAACCCAAATTCATTAAGCCGATAGTTACATACGTGTAATACTAAGCTACTGAGCATTTCATTTGGTCGGGTTATATTAGCGTTATCGTCTAGTGTTTCGTGGTAATGGAACGCGTCTAACTCATGAAATGTAAACATTTGGGCCTCTAGTTTTGAAGTAGCTATGCTCACGCTGATGCTGACAGTGTTATCATTCGACTCTCGATTGCGTCTCAGTTTGTTTGTGTTATTTTCGCCGATTAGGTTAACAAACTTATCATATCCTTTAAAAAAAAAAAAAACATATAAAAGTGATTTTTTTATATTTGATCCCAAGGTCGTGAACACCAGAATGTGTGTTTACAAAATTTATAGCTTCTCGAGACGGGGACTACAGATTAAATGATTGAATTTCGAATGCTACATTTGTGATTAATAACAAAAAGCTTTTGAGTGGCAGTAATGATTATCGCACATATACAACATGTAACATATTTAACGCACACCCTCAAACACCCCAATTAGACTTTAATAGTATAAACGCTATGCATACACCAAATATTATTTATATGTGCGTTAACATTGATTATTTGTGAAATTAGTTATTCCAATTTCGTGGAAATAAAATGGTCACCGATTCACACTCAGCTGCGCACGCACACACAGACACCTACTCGCCGCGCCCCTTGTTCAATGCACTTTAATGACCGTTTTCGTATTTGTTGTTTTATTTTAGATAATACTGCAATGTCACTTTTCACTTTATCAAAGGCGGTTATTATCTTATTCTTTAGTTCTTCGGCACTTATTGTCTGTGTGTTATAAACTAGCGATTTAATTCGCCCCCACAAAAAAAAGTCGAGAGGCGTCAAATCAGCTGATCTAGGAGGTCACTGACCGAAAAGACATAGCGAAATACGGGAGATATTTTATTTGCACTATCACTTGACCTCTTATCGATAAGGTGGACGCGGCGTGACTGACTTGTCAAAAATATTTTGTTGACTTCGTTGTTTAGATTTTTCTTTGATCACCGCCGACGCAACCGCGTCGCCGCGAACATCGGGATTAGCCTGCCGTTTATTGTAAGAATATTATGCCGACGAAAGAAAGGGATAGTAATTATTTTTGTATTACGTGGTTTTCTTTTATGTATTGTAGTGTTGCTGTGTGCCGGCGGTTGGTATTGTGTGCGTAGGTATTTTATTTTGTAATAGACTATTAGCCTTGAAATAAGTATCAGATTTCTTTAATTAAATAATATTTTTTTTTACTAATTAGATATTTCATTTTAAAAAGTCTTAATACCGTGACTTACGTTCCATTTTCGTTTCTATGAACTGTTTAGCTAGCTGTGTAGGGTGACTGTAATTTACTTAGTTTTAACTAAATTTTAGAAAAAAAAATTGGTACATAAAAAACAATCAAAATCGATCCAGATTCCGATTCTGAACAAATTACTTTCAGGGTGTGCGTTAATTATGTTACATGTTGTATACTATTGGAACATGTGGTAGTCGAAATAGAGAAAATAATACAAAGAAACAATAGGAAAAATATACCTTGTGTATACTTTGAGTACCGCAGATAAATCTCACTGAGCTCAAGCCGGCGCCATATTTCTTCAAACCTTCTCTAGCCGCTTCAACGACTTCAGGATGATTCTGCAACATGTTTTAAATTTCTTGTTAAGTTTAATGTAGCGCACATATTCAATAGTACAGATAATATAATTTAAAAAAAAATACCTCAATAAATTTAAGCTTCCGTTAACTATTAATTAAAAAAGTTTAAATCTACTTACCGATAAGCCTAAATAGTTGTTGGCACAGAAGTTCAGAAATTCTCCTTGAGCACCTTGGACCCGCACCTGTGAATTAAAATTGATGTGTGTATATGAATTTGGAACGATATTTTAATAATAATTCCTAAAAACGAATTGGCAAATATATCGTTCTAAATAGAAAATTTCAGGTGTAAACCTTTTTAGGCATTACATACATAATGCACAAGACAATTCTTGTTTAATACTTTTTTAAATATCATACTACGTTTTTGTTTATGCACCCGATCGATTCGCTCGAAGTAAAGACCTTTACTGGCAACTTCGAGTCACTTTGAGGCTTGAGGGTATTTTGGCGGGAACGCGAGGAGCGCAGTTATTTAAACTGTTTTATTTTGTTAACTTAATGTTTCTGCAGGTTTAAATGTGTAATAGCAGTGGTTTATTAACTGTTTAACAACTCTGAATTTGCACAAATGTGCGAAAATGAAACAAAGCCCATGGACGTGGCTTCTCGGGTTCTTTCAAAAAGTCCAAGGAAAACGTCTCAATAAATAACAACTGAAAGTTTATTTCATTTCACTTCATCTAGTTTCTTTTAATTACATACTAATTGATTAAAGTATTGATTTAATCAACTTCATCTCATTTCGACTCATAATATATTATTTCATAAAACAGAATATTTGTTCGTTCTTAATAATTATTGGAGATCTTTAAATAACCGACAATGGCATCGCAAAAAACTAATTGCCACACTTAAAAAGAAAAAAAAAAGAAAGGCAGAGGAATCTAATTAGTACCTATACCTACTATACCAAATATGCCTATATGTACGGAAACGTAGGCAAAAGCATTTTAGTTATAGTATTTTTGTTGACTAATAAAAACATGATTGTCTTGTATCTTCATTGTATTTTCAATGACACACAATGTCACACTACTACTTACTTAACTGACTATTTGTATTACGTAATCATAGTTTTCGCGAAGCCATTCTTATCAGGTAATGTGCAATGGAATGAATGTCAACACGCTGAAATACGAAGAGCGTCAAAAACTTAATAAACGTTAGTTGTATAGAACTTTATACGGCTTTACCTGTTTACAGTAATTTTGATGAGCACACGTGACCGCGAGTAATTTTAACAATAAATAACATGTGTTTCGAAATTGGAATCATATTGTTTCTTTTTTTTTTGTTTCACACGTTGTCAAGTTTTGCAGTCTTTCAATGATCGTTTTTTTTTTGTAACATGAGGTTGTAACGATTGAGATTGTACGAACCTTGTAACATGAGGGTCAAATCCCGAGTTCTATAATACTTCGTATACATTCGCTTCATATCAACGTTCAGTTTTGCTAGGTTCTATTTTGATAGTTTTTTTTAAAAGCACTGTGTATTGAAAATTGGCCTGCACTTGTAACATCGATAATTGCGTAATCACTCACCCTAGTGTCTTGCGGCGATGTGAGCACCCTCTCATGTTTCCAAGTCTTAGCCCTCTTGATTTCTTGCAAGCGGTCCTCTAACACATCTCGGAGCTTAGCTACACCAGCTCTTTCTTGCCTCTTCACTTCGTGTAAATGACGAACTTGAGTGCCATTCAGTACTGAAAAAATAAAAGAAGTGTAATCAAAAAAAAATCAGAAAAAAAATGCATAGAGACGTCGGTCTTTCGGAAATACCTTTTTATTTCTATAAAATACGAAAAAACAATACATTTTAATACCATTTACTTCTCTGTTTGTCTTCCGTTTTTTTTTTTTTGTAGATTTAAATTAGATTCTGTATTTTAGTAAAAATATATAATATCAAATCAGTTTTAGTTTCTTCAGAAGATAAAAGTCAGTGAAGTGATATATTCTGCTACTTATACCTAACCCAATTTAAATTTACAATGCTTTCAATAAATAAATAAGAAAAGAGTAATTTATTATAAAATCTCATTGCCAGTGACAAAACAGAACAGAACACAAAATGCATCTAAATTCTAATTCTTGGAGGTGCCAGTGAATATGATTGAATTTCGATTAATGGGCGAACCCTAAAAATACGTTTCGTAAAAAATCGTAACAAGTGGATGTTTTGATGTGGTAATTGTTCCAAAATTCTTATACCTAGTCATCGTTTAGTTATATATGTATACACGTGAAATGGTGACGAAGTATAAAGACTAAACTTTCTAAACTTGTCAAAAAAACAACGCATCCAAATTATTTTATCATAAAAACAATAAATGCATTCATTGTATTGAGCGATTGTCCTTGTTTTCAACCGCGATGTTTCAAAGTTGAATGCTGATAGGGCATTATGACAAGCAAAGCTGGTAACGTGCTAAACGTTTTTTTTTCAAGGTCTGTGTAACAATACGGCATACGGCACATGTTCATTGCTGTTGTAGTCTATAATCATTGCAGATAATGTCTCGCTCGGTGAATCTAGCATAACCCCTCGAGAGGACCCCTCTAGAATAGGTAGGGAAAAAAGCAAATATTTAGATAGTAATTTTGAAAAAAATGTATTATTTTTGCATTAACAAATATCTTCCTGTCTCTGTTACTTATTTTCATCATTAAAGTCAATTAATTTTACGAATACTATAATCTGTGGAATGGACTCTGCCAAAATATTAATAGGCATGTAGGTACATACATACTTTATAGGTTTAGGTATACTTTATTTGTTACTCGACAAAGACGCGCCATTTTAACGTAAGAATCGTATTAAATTAGCGCCTAGAGATATTCATGTAACACACTATGAATTTACTTAGGTAAGCATTATTAGAACAATTTTACAATATGTATGACATTTCCTTAAAATAAAATTACTTGTATACCTATATTTTATTTTACTATAGCACAAATTCCTATAACATTTAGTTCAGCAAAACATTCATGTTTTATCACAGCCACCTTATACAGCCTTATGTTAATTTACATGATAACAAGCAGTATAAAATATTAAAACAACACAAACACACGAAAGTTCGCAGAACATGCAAAATCGGTATCTTTTAGTTTAATATAATATTAAGAGATCAACTAAGAGTGAGGAAAATTATTGTTGGTTAATTGTTATTGAATTGAAATATAAAATGTCAGAAACATACCGTTGCGTAGTAGCTGCGAGCGCAGAGCCATGGCGACGAATGGGGGCGCGCCGCGCCGTTGCCGGCGGAATGGAGGCGCGGGCGTCGGGCTAGCGGGGCTGCACCGGCCGGACCAGTCACGCAACTTGATATGAAGAGCGTGGCCGCTGCAGCTTAGGTAATAATTGTGTGAATGTGATCCATTGATCTAAATAATTTCGACTATTCGAATTCCATAATAGATGCTCGGTGCAAAATTACTTTTCTGATCGAGTGGTTTTTGAAAAGATAACTGTTGTGTCCTTATACGAAGGTCGTTCCGAGAATTTTAATTGAATATTGTGACTGTTGCGTGACCATCTCTAAATATTACGGTTAATTTATGATACTATGCTAAAAGACTTGCCGCAACTGCCAACAATAGGTGCTTTTTTTTCCTACCTAAGCTAGCTCAGTGTAACCTTAACTATTAGGTGAGCTCACGGGGCTCAAACCTGACAACGTTGCTAACACGAACCCTAGCAAAAGCCGTGCTCCGCAGAATCTACCACCGGATCGGAAACGCGACCCACTGAGAAGATCCGGCGAGAAACTCAGTGGGCTATGTCTATGGGCTAATTCGCTCGTCGAGCCCTTCGTCGCAAGCGACGGGTTCGACGAGGACGGTGACCGGTGCTTGTGGTGCCTAAAAGCACCGTTAATGGATCAGGAGGATCCGTAATGACGTGCTTTAGGCAACGTCGACGGTTTACCATTTGGTCTACAGGGTCGGGTATGTAGTTTCCAGCGGTCACGACAAGAGGGTTCTCATGTCGTGCCGCCTACTCAAAGTGGTGCAGCGATGCCGGCTGTAGATACTTACTAACGGAATTGAGCTCCAGGTCATCGTGGAGATCCACGTTCCTCAAGAACCATGGTGCTTCGACAGCTATCCTGCAGAATCGGGATTGAATAACCTGAAGGGATTTCAAGTGGGTGCGAACCGCGTGAGCGAACACTACGCTTGCATACGTCATGACGGGGCGTATGCAAGTTTTGTAGAGAGTTACCTTATTACGGAGGGACAGTTTGCTTCGACTACAAAGCATTGGGTAGAGTCGTCCTAGTATAAACGCGGCACGGTCGCGTACCGTTTTAATGTGGGGACGGAATTTCATCCCTCTGTCGAGGGTGACGCCTAGGTATTTGACCTTCGAGGCCCACGGTATGGGCTGGCCAAAGAGAGTGATGGGGCTAACGGCGGAGAAATGTCGCCATTACAAATTTTAAAAAATAAAAGGATTGAACATTATTTCAATTATTTTTCAACAGTTCATCAACTCTGGGCGATGTCGTTACGAAAACCGTCGGTTTATACCTGGTTCGGTATTTCGTCTTGTTATAGATATTACATTTTACTTATTATTAATTATTATACGTATGACTATACCTATAAGGCATTTTATTGGTAGATAATACCTACTAAAAAGAGCTCTCCTGAGGTATAAAAAAATCGTGGTAATTTAAAACCTAATCAGAAAAAAGCGTAAAGGAACATAAAATAGTTTTTATTTAAAAAAGTTTTTAATAGCTTTTGGGGTTACATTATCTTCGTCTTCGTTATCATATGCGACTCTGAAAAAAAACAAAACACAAGTTACCTATAATAAAAATGTAGAGGAAATATAACGGAAACACGGGACGGACGGGGTTGTTTAAATTACACAGTTTAAAGTACACTCTAATACTTCTAAATCTTTTCCGGTGTGTATCGCAAAAGGTGACTGAGGAATTCCCTGGAAAATAGTATTTACTTATCAGAGTTCGGCAGTATCATATCAGCGCCCTGCGATCACCAATCGGTATAATAACATATCGATGATAGGCACGCAAGGATCGGTGTCAACATTCTGCTTAAATTTACCACGAAGTCATGTATTCTGGTTTGCAGGTTGGGACAACCGTTATACAATACAATTTAGACTTCAACCGCATATCTCAAGTTGGGTGCCGCCCTCCACGTCGTGATGATTACGGGCTTAACGCTGAGCTGAGAGGTGTTTAGACAGTTCCGCAAACAAACATTTTAACAGCTTACAAATATTTTAATAACTTGCATTTTTTTTAAATTGCTGAGGATTTTTTTGTTAATATTTACATTAAATCGTGTATTTTAGTAAGTTTATTTTAAATAATAGAAATTAGTTATATGCGGAATGCAGGTCCTAACTAGATTTTTAAGGTAAGTTATATCTTGGATTTTATAAAGAATTAAGAGGAATCTCGTCTTCGTTTTGGATTCGTCCATCATTCGATAACACGTCGAATCTTGAAATTCGTCACAAGGCTAAAACTGTAGAACGTGCCAAAGAACTAATGATGAAGACAAATACGCTTAAAAAAATTACCCTACAAGTAAAAACTGTGGACACTGAAATTTGGATTGAAAATGTTCTCTAAAACATAGACTAAGAAATAGATTTTTTTAGACTCAAAAATAGACGCTCTGTGACCGGGACCTGAGCCACATAAATAATAATGAAATGCAGTGGACTCTCAATCGTGCGCATTATACATACTCCATCTTTTACGTATAGTGTGTTTTCTAGAAAAATAAATGACAAACTTGCTGGGTGGACAAGGCGTCCTTTAATCTGCGACTCAAGCTAGTCACGCAGACACTACCAGCGTCTATTACATAATAAACCAATAAAAAGTAAAATGTTATTAGTAAATCACCTCGGGTCCAACATGGATGGCCAGCATCATGTCATAATCGTTGGCACCCACTTGAATTTGAGCTCGTCCGTCGCTTTGAACAGTCACGGTTTTACCTTGACACCAACTACCAATTTTACTGCCAGATATCACGTCGCAGTATCTACCCGCTGGAAGACAAGTCTGTAAAATATTTTTTTGTTAATTTAGATAGGCAGTAGACCCTTCATGTTCTACGGTTACACTAAACTGCTTTCTGTCGCCCATTGTCCGACAATTAGATTTAAGAATTAGTTGCAGAGAATAATGACTAACCCATAATGTTTGTTAGGGAGCGAAATAGCGAAGCCATTGATGAGAATGGATAGGAAAGGAGGATACTATTAATGATTTTTAAGGATTCACTAACTGCTTAGCTACAATTATGTAGATTTTCAGCTTTTTGGCTATCAAAGGCGGAAATGCATAGTTCCACTTGAAATATATAGAGCAAGATAAGTATTTATTACTAACTAGCTGACCCGGCAGACTTCGTAGCCTCGATCGATAAATAAAAGACCTAAGCTTTTGTATAAAATAAACTTAAAACAAACAAAAGGAATCCGTCCGACGGGCGACACATCAAAGGGAAAACAAAATTGTTATTTTTATTTAATTCCTAGCATTTTCATATTTATCTTTTAAACCTTCTCTGGACTTCCACAAATAATTCAAGACCAAAATTAGCCAAATCGGTTCAGCCATTCTCGAGGTTTAGAGAGACTAATGAATAGCAATTCGTTTTTATATATATAGATATAGATTATTTAAGCAAAATGCACAAAAGCAACTTCCAGGTAATATCTGCTTATCTTTGGGTAGAGCTGATCATTGAAGAAAACTAAATTGAATAAAAAGCATTATTTACAAAATATACAAGTATGAATCCAATCAAACACAGAAATGTAAATCAGCTATACTTACTTCCAAACTGAAAACTAACCTGCAAACTCTGATTAAGGTCCCAACGGTCGTTATTGAAAGCAATAAAAGCTTTAGTTCCTCGACAGAAGGCAATCTGATTACTCCCATTATCCCACCACTCAACGACATCAGTGTTTCCTGCCACGTTCCTAAAGGCGACCATGCTGTAAATCTGTCTCCAGCGGTGTTGGCAAACCCAACCGTTACCGCAGGTTCCATCCTGAAATTTAATATCAGTACTTTTATTTAATAATCAGTCTTTTTTTAATACGCTTTTATTAGCTTTATACGTATGTTAGTTTTTTATGTTTGCTACTGGTGGCCCGGTGGCCTTTCCAGCTTTACCAGGGCAGGCGGGAGAGCAAAGGCTCAGCGGGGAGGGGTGGGATTTGCTAACAGCTACCCGAGCGCCTCCAAAGGAGACTTAACGACTCACGAGTAGCTGTTTCGCGAATGAATCTACTACCGGATTGGAATCGCAACCCGCTGAGAAGTTACGGCGAGAAACTCGGCGTGCTGATGTTTAGGTTAGGTTGCAAGTCGAACCGTTTGCCGAATTCAACGAGTACGATTACCGGGGTCCCTACTCCTAGTGTTAGAGTTAAAGGAGGTGTCTAATGCAAGGGTTATTGGATCTGATGGATCCGTAAGGTCGTGTCTAGGGCGTCGACGGTGACTGGCTCCTGCGTGATCAGGATTCGGGGAGTAGTCAGCTGCGGCAACGACAAGGCGATTATCATGACGCACATAGCCTTATCGAAGTCCCGTTCCGAAACTGAATTCATGTGTTTCCTGATTGATTCGAGGCCCAGGTCGTTGTGTGGGTCAACATTCCTCACGAACCACGGAGCTCCGACGGCTAGCCAGCAAAAGCGGGATTGTAGGGAACGGAAGGTGTCTATGTGTGCGCGGGCCGCGTGAACGAACACCAAAACTTGCATAAGGCCCGTCATGACTTCGTTAGTCATGACGGGCCTTACGAAAGTTTTGTAAAGTGTCACCTTTTTCCGAAGGGACATTTTACTCCGCTTACAGATCATGGGGTAGAGTCTGTCGAGAAGAAACGCAGCGCGGTTGCGGTCGGATTTTATATGGGGGCGGAATTCATGGATGCATCCATGGTGATACCCAGGTGCTTGAACCTTCCTGGCCCAGGGTATGGATTGGCTGAAGAGGGTAATCGGGGGTGTGAGATTTCTCCTCCTAATCCGGGAAGAAATCCGTGTGAAGTTTCCCTTTTGAAATAGCACCGCAGTGCTTTTCGCCGGGTTCATGTCTATGCGCCATTTTTTGAACCACTGTCCTAAGGTTACGGCTGCGTTCGGGAGTTTCCTCGCGATTAGGTATGTAAGAATATACGACAAAGGGAAGATCTTCCACCGAGCGGATGATATTTGCTCGGTAGACCGACGGTCCGAATGTTGTTGTTCGGAACTTGTATATATGCGCTTTATCTTGAAAATGTCGTAAGCGAGATTCAGGCATCTGTCAA